GAGGGGCGTATTTTACGGAGACTTTTCTAGCGGCAGCCCTGGCCCGCTTATCATCTAGAAATTGTAGTGGAAACATTAAAGACGGTACGGCAAGGTCACATGTGAATTGGTCGGCTTGTTTTCGCCCTAATTTCTTTATGAAGTGAAGTGAAGGAGTACATGACTCGCCTGTAAACAGAACGCTGTTGGGAACTCTGTCCGGGCAGAGGAAGCAGTTGCATATTTTGTCTACTGTTTTCTATACATGACAAAATCTGAATTCAGGTATGCACCAACTACGTCTCCTAAAGGAATGACCGCCGAGATTGAGAGATTGCTGTCCTGAGTCTCCGTGAATGGTGATATGATTTGTTATTTGTAAAGCTTTGTTCACTGATTTTGCTTACGGATTTTTTGTTAATTCGATTTTTAAGAACTTGTAGAAAACTGCCCATCTTTCATTACATGAATAAAATATTGCATGATTGTAAGATATACAGGGAATGAACACCCAAATATCCGGTTTCGAAGACATACTGTAGAATCAACCACCCCCCCCCCACCGTTAGTGCCGTCGCTCACCTCCGCCCGCGCTGCCGCACGTCCGGCCACATGCATAACCATAGCCTAACGCGCTGCTTGCCTGTGCCTTCTCATTTCTGTCTGTTCTCTATCTCTCACTGCGTCTTCTCTGTCGGCGCAAATGCTGCCCCTTGGAGGTAGTGTAACTGGATCTAAAACCAATTCCTGCGATCAAGTGTTACGGGAAGTAGATGCTCAATCATAAGTCAGTACGCCATGAATGGCAGAAAGAAGGGGAAAACACCTTGAGCACACCCTGAACAGAGACCCACATAGCTGTTGGTTGGCGCCTTGGACGGGTTTCTCAGACGTTGGACAAGACCAGTAGCAGGACGACGTGCAACCAATCACCGGCAAAAGCATAAGAAATCGCCCTACGACGCTCCAGGCAACGCTATGTACACACGCAAGCTCAGCTTATATGACGACATCTTGCAGAGTGAAAGTAATCGTGGTTGCAATGGTTGCACTTACGCGTCTCTAGTTTCTCTCGTTCGCCGTTTTGAGTGACGACAGTGATACATTCTGTGCGAATTCGGACAACGATTGGACAACTGAGGCAAGCTCAAAGCAGTTGGTAGCAGTTCATGTCACACACCACCGATGTTCATGTCCATCACCCTGTATCAACCATCTAACGTTCTTTTGTTGCGTCGTGACACGCGCTATGGGCTCATGGCCCTCCCCTTCTGACACCTCTTATCAGATCTTCAGCTGATATGACCCCCTGACAACCACCCATAGGTTTCCGTCGCAGCTCCTATCACCCATCAAGATCCACTTCTTACAGCAACTGAGACAGTCACAGACAGACAGATAGATAGATATACCGGATTGTATACAGTAGGATAGCTCCTTTCATTCTACATTATAGGCTATCAACTAGAATCAAACGCGCATCCTGTCATTGGAATGTTCACTTCATTTGATTTTTAGTTCCATGCTTTTTCGTACCTTCTTATCGCATGATTTTACGTGAGTGTCTCGTGTCAACCTCCATATTTCTTGTCAAATCCTTCCTCAATGCTTCCTCATTTCATCAACCGCACCTCACTGAGGAGTCCCGGGGTTGAAGAAGTTACAGTTGTCTGAGGTAAGGGACGAAACATTACAGTTGTCTGAGGTAAGGGACGAAACAAATCACTGCGTTATTATAGAGGGTTCTATCCATGTCTATTTCTTATTCCGATTGTTGTTGGGTGCACGCGTGTAATAGCGCCACCACTCGTGAAATATCCCCCTTGCTTCTGTCGTAGTGAGGTTGATTCTGGCCCCTAGTTCGCTATGAATACAAGGATAGCATCAAGACCGATAGCTGACTCGGCCGAATCAGCTTTCGTCCATCCGATTCAATCAAAACCAAAAATCGGGGAGCACATTTCCAGAATAAGAAAGCTTTTGTCCCATAAAAGCGAGTTACGTTGATGAAATAGCGCCAGTACTGAAATATGCACCAAAAAAAGAGACTCTGCTCATGCAGCGTAGTGCAGCGCAAAGCTTGCGCTGGCTGCATACACTGACGAGGCACATGATTGAGTAAAATAGTAAAATACCTGAGTGTTGCCTTATTGAGGTGTAAGAGTAGATTCTTGTTGCCGTTTGCGCCGTCGTCCATGAGTGCCGACGAGCTCAGGGAGGACAACACTACTATCGTTCTGAGACGAATGCATGCTTTCCACAAACCATTCGCGGACGGCTGCCCTGGTAGTGCAAAACATTTGACATTACCTCTCTGACAATGTCGGTACGGTTCAGTATTTGATGCCGATGACTCATCACCACTAGTAATGCTGTACAGTCCTCATCATTGCGGACCGGTGGGGCGTGTCAGCCAGAAGGAGTGCGCACACTGTTGAAGCCGTTCTCAGCCTTTTTGTTGCAACGCGTATGCGACAAAAAGTGGTAGAAAACGAGTAATACGAAGGATATTATACAGTAATGCACTTGCCCGCTTCAAAAACTGGTGCAGAACGTCTTTGCCAAACCGCACCAAACGCAGCCGCACTGCCACGCCCCACCGGTCCGCAATGATGAGGACTGTAGGTCTAACGCACTGTAATACAACATAGGCACTGGCTCTATCAGGCTACAGGGTCGTGACCCCTGTATATGATGGTGTGTAACGGCAATTGGAAACAGGGCACAGCATTCGATGGGGATTTTGGTCGAGCCTTTACGACCCCCGCCTTTTTCAGGGTCTGCTACGACCCCCCCCCCCCATGCTCGTACGATGTCGACGACTTTTCCATGAATGACACTGGATTGGCTGACTAGCTGACTGTGGTTGTGGTTTATACTCGGCGAAAAAGTTGTCGAGCGGGGGGGGGTATGTAGTAAGCATGCGACGTACATCGTACGGGCGTACATAGTACCTATAACACAGAAAATTCATAAAACTCATGAAGTGAACCACGTAACTCCTAGACAGAAATACGACCCCCCTCCCAACAATGAGCAAATACGACCCCCCCCTCCAAAACGTCCGCAAAGCGAGAAAAATCAACTATAAAAATAAATTTTTCCCAGCCCAAATACGACCCCCCCCCTTTTGGCGGCCTCATACGACCCCCCCCCATAGGGAATCCCCATCGAACGCTGTGCCCTGATTGGAAACAAAAAAATCTCATTCTAAACTCATTTATTATATTAACACAAGAGGGAAAAGAGGAAGAGAATCCGACGGGTGTAGGTTAGGACTCCACGAGAGGTCAGCCTTCGCCGCGGCGCGGCAGCGGAGGGGCGGGGCGCGCGGCGATTTTCCCGTGTGCGCGGCGATTTGCATCCGAGCACTCGTTTCGCATCCGTCCACTCTATAATTTGGTAGACTTTCATCGTTTTCATTCCTGTTTCCTTTTCCCAGTCATCTTATATTTACCTTGTATGTGTTTTCATGGTTTCATTTCTTCCTGCAGTGTTTCGCTTTCTTCCTCTAATTTTCTTTGAATCACTTGAGTGCTGCTCAGCCTTCCTCTTCGCGTTGTTTTTATTTTTCATGTATGCTTCGGGTTTCCGTCCATAGTGCTTTACGATATAATTTTTTTGTTGCAGTTTTTTTCAGGTACTCAGTAGCCAGCTTTGAGCGTGGGTGGGAGGTAAGCTATTTATTTTTCAGTTGTTTTTTTTATTGTTTCATCCATAAACACTTCTTTTGCAATGCTTGCCTTTACTGTGCTTCTATTGATTTTTTTCAGATGGGTGGTGAGCATTATGTACGAACAAAAGGTGGCTTATTGGTTTTTCACTTTTTTTTCTTAACTTGTTGTTTCTTTCATAAATTTTCTTCGCGAGTCATGAAACCATTTTCGCTCGATAGTTGGGCGATGGGTGATTTTGTGAATTTTAGTTATTCTTCGTCCGCCCCGCAAACGCTGAGTTGCAGTCATCGACGGGATTTTTCTTTCCTTTGCTGTGGTCAATGTAAGCGATACTCTCCAATTTGTTTTTTTAAACAGCTATTAGTGTGCTTTTTATGGAAGCTGTTGATACTACGCGTTGTTATCGTGATGTTTTCAGTTCTTCTTCGTCCGCCTCACCGCCCATGCTGTCAGTGATGGAGTACTTGTCAAGAAACTTGTGTATGTCTGATGACAACAATTTTGATCATAATTTCGAGTGCTGCTGATGTATGAGAGTGTTTTTATGTGCATTGATGTCCATTTTGCAATAAATTGGTCGCGAATTGAATTTTTCTTTGGCACAAAAGATTATTACACAGATACAGCAGAACATGCAACGTGGATGGTTACAGAGTACGCGAACTATAGATGTACGATATGCGTTTTTCTTTCGCTACACTTTCGAATAAAAAGTCATGACTAATGCTATTTCACCGATTGTTTTTCGGTGTGGAGTCATATATGAAATGATTAGATCACCGAATCCTCTGAAAACTTCTACATAGCACTGCGCTGGACCTAATGGACGGTTATCTTCAATCCTCAGCCTTAGCAGAGCGCAAGATATCAGGCTTGCCTTGGTTGCGTGTTCACGCTGGCAAACCTATGCATAGGGTTCGAAAGTTCATAAACTTTTCGAGGACTTTGATTTGTCCTATCCAGTCACACGGTACTTACGAAGTTGGAGTTTTAGGAGTTTTACTGACACCTCCGCGCTGTTCGGTGTTAAGTGCACTCTCACTACGATCCCTCACTTCAACGGTCAAACGCCCCCCCCCCTCCCCTATCGCGGAACCCTAACGATGGTGTGCCTCATGAAGATTACATCCACAGATTGCCTTGTCTAGGCAAAAAGTGATGCAATAACGCATACGTCTTTCGCCAGATATGTGACCCCGAAGGAGGCCCAACCATAGCGCGAGGTCCCCAGGCGTTTGGCGACTTCACGGCAACGAACGTTTTTGAGCCTCTAGGATATCGAAACATTTCTGGGTTACAAGGAAGACAGAATGTAGTACCAGACCACATCAGTTGTCTAAGACAATGCCTACGAATCCTACGCATCCTACTTCTCAACCCAACAGCCCTCCTCAGGGCTATTCTGACACGGCCGCATTGGGCACATGTAAGCTTTTGAGTTGAAATGTGCTGTTCTTTAATTAACTATTCAACTTCAGCTTCTGGGGATGGACAACCATCCACCAGTCGAGTGAACATGGCCAACTATGTCACTCTTTTGGGCTTGTTGACGAGTGGTAAGTGTATGTAGTTAAAGTGACGTCATGATGAAAGCGAACTAATGAGCCTATCCCATCATTCATTCAGTTGCCCCTCGTCAAGACAGGCCTCCACCAACAGCTTCAGCTGCCCCTCCACAACGCAGTGGAAGCCCACCACCGTCTCGAGAACCCCGGCAGCGATATGGTCGTCTCTTCCCTGGGATAGCCAGCACAAGCCAGAAGGGTACACATCCTGTCATGAAGTACCAGAATCCCAGGTGAGCGCAATGATCTTCGATGGAGTCCATACCTTACCTCATGATGTTTCATTTCAAGGTAGTCCTCTATGCTATGCGTTCGAGCACCAGAGGTCCAGCTCTGGCCACGACTTATACCGCTGCACGGGATGTATTATAGAAAACAACAGACAACGACCTCCGTCGCGGTACGGGACACTACGTTTCTTGCTGGTGCCCGCATTATGACTACTGCTGTTTCAGGTACTCAACTACCAAAGCTTCGTTGAGGATCCCTGCCTACTGCCGCATGTCTGTGTGCCGTGGAAGTACGCACAGGATACAGCCAGTATGTTTTGTGTTGGTGTGAGTAAGCTGCTGCAGTGACAGTATTTGACATTCAGAGATGCCATGAAGTCGCCGCCTCGCCGCACCTTGCCGACAAAACCCCGAGGCAGCTGTGGCACGAGCTAGGAAGCTTTATAGACTTTTTCTCAGACGAAGGTACCTACGTTTCTCTAGCTGCAAGTACGCACCCCGGAGCAATCCTCAACATTTCGTTGCAGATCCTGCACTGCGTGAAGAGATCCTGCACTATTTCTATGGAAAGGGTTACGAGTCTAGGCTAAGCTCTCACTAGGTGACTTACTCCCTACGCGCTTTTTTTGTCGACCATTTTCATGTGTACCCCTTTTCAGGGCAGTGAAGAAATTGCATGATCATCGCGTGTCGATGAGGGAAGTGCCAGAACGTTACTCCTGCCTTCCTGACGGCACGCGATTCCTCCAGTATTCTACCGAAGACCTTCACATCTACTTCGCTGCTCGCGTGATTGAGGTAACATAGCAATCTCACGAAATAACAGCACCCGCCCCGCTCAGCTTCGATTTCAGAGAGCATGCAGCGCTGGTCTCCATGCTCTGGTGATGGACGGTGTGCACAACCTGCAGCCGAACGTCACCAACAAGACGGGACAGCTCTATGTAATCCATGGAGTAACAACGAACGGCGTCGACATGCCCTTGGTCTTCGCTATTACGACGAAGTACTTACTTCTCACTCAATCATGATCAAGCTAAAATGATCCATCGAAAAGTTGTTGTTTCAGGAAGACGTATGTGGTCTACGAGAAGATCCTCCGGATGGTGTGGGAGGCAATGACACCGCCAGCGAGAGAAGGCCTCCGCATTGTGCTCGACTTTGAGAGAGCCGCTATAAGAGCAGCGAAGGCCGTCTTTCGTAGGGCCTCTGTGGAGGGCTGCGCATTCCACCTGGCCCATGCATGGAACAGGAGGAGGGAGAGGTTCGGGTTGCGCAAGTTCGTAAAAGGCCGGGCGAGAATCTCCGCGGTAAGAAAATGGTGGTGCACACTGAAGGGACTCGTCTTCCTCCCGAAACACCTCCACCCGAAAGTTCCTGCCCTGTTCCGTCCTCCAGTTCCGCCCGGTCATCCCGCGTACAACAGCTGCCGCGATTTCCTTGAGTACCTGCGTACCACTTGGTACGCAGGACCATTCAAGGACATGTGGTGCAAATGGAATGTCTCGGAACTGAGGACGTCCAACGTCGCCGAGTCCTTCAACAGGTAAGCGAGTCGGAAAAAGGCAGCACATTCGCACCTCAATTCATATTGTATCAGGGTACTGGGCGTCGTGGTTGGAGTGCGCTTCCCACGCTTGGCCAAGTTGCTCATCTCCCTTCATGGGTTTACCAGTAAGAGCAGGAGGAAAGGTGCACATTGCGAGGAGGCGCCGAGTGGAGAGAGAAATGCGGCGCTTCAAATCCATCATGGATAGAAGTCGCGGCTTCCTACGCACGGTGACAATTACCACCTACTGCCGGCGTATGTCTCAATTCGTAAGAAATAAAGTAAACTGAGGTATGTTAAACGTCGCTTGTTGTGATAACATTCCTGCAACAACTTCCAATTCTAGATCAGCTACCGTCTCCCACGTGACCATCCGACGCAGCCCGTCACGTCGTTAACCCAACGGCCCCCATTGGGGCCACAATCCCAAACGAATACAGAATTTCACTCATGTTCTCGGAATAAACCTTTTGTTTTTTAACAGATGCGGGGAAGAAAACACTCCTTCCCACCTTCTAGATTATTATGAGATCATCTGAACTTCTAAACTGAAGGTGAGATTGGAGTGCTTTCTCCCTCATGCACTTGACCATATCAATCTTTATCAAATCACCATCCAGTACACAAAATATTGAACAGAGCAAACCTAACAATTCACTGGATCGTACCAACCATGTGCACAAGAACTTCGGACATGCCGCATTTATACCTTGCGATGTGGAGATTATTAGATGTGTCAATTGAGTGCGCTCACTATCAGATCGAAAAAGAAGATTCTCCACATTCGCAAAGTAAAGCGTGGCCTAACCTACACATCCAAATACCACGCAATACAAGAAAAATAAGGTAGAGCAGATTGAGAAAAAAAGTGCAAAAATCCTAATATTAAATAACTTATCACAGGTAGATAGACTGGTCCATCTTCGCATCGGACGACTCCGAATTGGTAACCGTTTCGTCAAGTGAAGGATCGAAAACCTAAAAAATAAGTTTGAGGACATATGAAGAAGACATACAAGCGAAGAATAGAAGATTCAAAACAAAGACCCCATAGCCACATTTTAATTATGCGTCATGTTATATAAAGACAAGGCACAAAAAAAAAACTAAACTCACCTTGTTTGTTTACTTCTGACCGGAATGAGAATCTGTTGAGAAAAAAATGAAGTTGAATAGGGCCAGAATCATACCAGTTCTGCCACTAAACAACCCCCCTACCGGCAGCAAACAATGAAATGATTAAAGAAAAGAAAGAAAATAAGAAGATAGGGGGATAAGAAAAAAGGAAGAAATGGCAAGCAAGGAAACAAAAAAGTATACGAAAGTGCACAAGCAACCAAGCAACCGAATGGGAGATTACAAAGAAAAAAATCACATAATTATCGTAATGATGGAGAATAAAACATGAAAGAAATTAGACCACTGAACTCACCTTATTTGTTCGCTTCTGTTACGAACCTGAAAAAAAGCAGTAAAGCGTACATAGACGAAAAAAGTAAGCAGAAACGAAAAGTAAGTAGAGTGAACGAGGGCAGATACTGTTTAAGAAGGACTGGAGCGGGGTGGTGGTCTTATATACGCAAATCGACCGCCCGTTTTTTGGCCTACCCAGTTTAACTGCCACTGGGCAGACTAAGGGCAGTCAATCGATAACTCAAGATTACTTAGATGTCAGAAGAACTTGTTATGCCAGAAAAGAGTTGAATAGGGCCAGAATCATACCAGTTCTGCCACTAAACAACCCCCTACTGGCAAAGAAACAAATGAATTGATAAAAGAAACGAAAGGAAATAAGAAGATAGGAGATAAGAAAGAGAGGAAGAAATATGGGAACAGGGAAACAAAAAAGTATACTAACGTGCACTAACAATCATGCAAACCGAATAGTGGAAAATTACAAAAAAACCCAACCACTTAATTATCATAATGAAAGGAAACAAAACAAAATTAAATTAGATCTTCCAAACCCACCTTATTTGTTTACTTCTGTTTAACCTGAAAAAAGTAGTTATGGAAGCGGAGATAGACGGAAAAAAAGAAATAAACAAACTCACCAAGTAACTAAAGACGAGAAAGCTTATTAGAATAGGACGAAGACAGCATTAAGATGATGAGCACAGCAGCGTTAGGGAAGCCACAGCGTTCTATTGATTATCCCAATCAATTTTGGCAAAATGCCAAACTTGTTTAAAGGGAGGTACCGTAATCGGGCAATCGCAGAAATCTCGTCCAATCGCGGCTGCGGCGGTGACCCCTCGTGGAGTCCTAACCGTTCCCCATCCTTTTTGAGTATTCGTGTAGAGCATAAGAAAAGCATCAAGGAATGCTTACTAAGTTGAGGCTGTTTTATGAGGCCTCTTATGAACGAAAACGAAATACTGAACTTCGATTGCTATGTAACAAAGCCGACGCTCGGCCAAGTACAGTAAGATCCAGCCTGTAGAGTGCGCCCCATTAACTGCGAAATACGAAAAATATTACGAAAAAGAAACAAACCGTTAAAAGGAGGTTGAGGCGTTGGGCCCGTTTTAGGAGGTGCCGTCGTTCGATCACTCGATCAAAATCCGGTGTGCCGTGGTCATCATCATGTCTTCAATTTCTGCAGACCTAACAAAGGCTTATGGTCAACACCATCGTAAGCCAAATAATCGACAAAGGATATTGTATTGCTTTCCCAGTTACAAAGAATATATGTAATAAAGCTCGGAATTCTCTAGATATTACCCAATAAGGATACAAGTCAGACAGGTCCCACAAGTCACCTCCAGTTTGTGCACTGATAATCAGCACTATTATCGCACAGGATCCATTAGACCCAGAGCAGAACCTAACAATGAGGCTTGCTGAAACGAGGATGATAGGCAAAAGAACATTTGAGGTCAAATATAGCAGTATAACACCTCGACAGATAAGACCGAAAGCGAAAATAAGGAAGTTCATAGGAGAATGCTGCAAGTCTCTCGAATAACAGGTCACCATCAGCCCGCAGGTTGTATAACTTACAATGGGAATGGTCAGCATGTCTAGTGGAGTTATATCCTTGAGTATTTAACCAAATTTCTCAAATTTGCATTTAATGCACGCTGTAGGGCGTAACAAATTTTCAAATGCACTTCAAACGTATAACGCAGAAGAGTTTCAGTTTTCTTGGGACAGTCATCACAAGGAGAAGATCATAGAACAATCGATGAATCGTCCATTGATTGTTCGTTTATATCGATGCTACGCTTCCATTTTATAGAGATGTAGCAGGAGGAAAAGGAAAGGCTAGTCGAGTCGAACCCACCACAAGCGTCATTTGGAATGAAACCAAAAAAACAGAAATGGGAAAATCAACAATCCTTTGTTGGGAATTCGGAGCAGAAATGCCCTCAAAAAGATCAAGATCCTCAAAAACACAAGGCACTGGTCAAAAACCGATCATGCCGAGAACCACTGACACAGAGTACACGCCTGCGGCACCGGCTGTGACTAACGGTGGTCAAATATCGGGTAACCAGATTTTGCTGTGTGTTGTTTATCTCGAAAGTAAATTCATCAAATTTAGACCATCAGATTTATTAATGGAGAGAATGGAAACAGAGCACGTTTGTCACATAAATTAGAAGTAAAGGAGAACAAAAGTAGAAATGACCGCAGGGAGCCGACCACTTGGCACTGTACGACTACCGATTAGAACTGGTGATTGCGCATACAAATTTCGTAGATCTGATCGGAATCAGTGGAATGTGTTTTTGAAATGTGAAATGTGTTTTTTTTTCTCAAAGAAGATGACTGGCTAACGAATACGCTCATGTGGTGATAGAAAAAAAGAGAGCCGGTACAATCTGTCACGGGTTCTCCAAGATACCCGCCTATGCGAAATCAGGTTTATCGATACTGTAACCAGAATAAAAATCCAAATTCATGAGTAGGAAGGCGAAATGGAAGATAATTGTATATGTCACTGCTGAGAACTGAACAGGTAGTTGATTAGACTGATGATAAAACCTTGTTCTCTGTCGAGAGTACTGAAATGCTAAATGGTCTCCACTCCCTTCACCCAGAATGGCACAATATCTCCCTCCGGTTGCCGCAAAATGATCTGGTAATTGGCGTTTATCGAATTGGGTACAACCGGCCAAGAATAATAAACACGTCAAGTATAATAAGTCATAAATAAGCATAAAAAGAAGCTCGATACGCTTGCAGGCCTTTAGAAAAGGCGATTTTGCCGAAACGTGAGCTGAATAAAATTAAAACCTGTTTTGGCGTACGGTGAAGAAAACTTCATTTTACGCTAAATACACTCCTTATCCCTAAGATGGACTAGGCGTGGCATTTGAACATGGCATAGAATGGGTTACTCGTGGAATATTTCAGTCTGAGACAACTGTCATCTTGTTCTGTGTCGCACAGAGACACGGCCACATTTGGGTCAAATTGAAAACATCTCTTCGGAAGCAACTGCCACGTTTAGTGAAGCGCAGCCACGCCCACCACAACTCAGGAATTTCCTGTGTATGCTACCATCCGCGGCGGGCGAATTCACGCTCACAATAGAGTAACAGCGAAATTGTTGAGCTCATTAGAAAGAGGAAATCATTTAGTTTTCGGAACTGTGTAGATTTCTTCTCTACATTGTGCTCGTTGTTTCCATCGTGAGGAAGAACAGAACTCGCGTTTGCTCAAAAAATCTCCGCGTTACTCTTGGTGTGAAGCCACCTGAAACTACGAGTACCGCATACCGCTTCGCAAAAGGTTGTGCCTCTCCAAGAGAGACAATGTTCAGCTGAAGTCAAATGGATGCTTTTTCACAATTTTCATTCTCTTCCATTCTCGCATTCGCGAAAAAAATGACAGTTACTTCAACAACGTGATAAGGAAA